CTTTTCATTTGTTATTAAAAATAATGCTGCAGTGAATATTTATATATCTTAGCCAATTTTTATAAATGTTGAATATTATTGGAAGAAATAGTACCTTATACTAATTACTTCATTAATATTTTTCTCACTGATATTTATTTAGTCCTTTCTAGAACCAAATCCCATTACACTCTTTACTGCCTGTTTTTATTTCCTTCTCCATCCCCTTTAATCACATTAAAAGAATCAGTTCTGAATTTCCTTCATGATAATTCTTGTTATGTTAATCTTCATTACTGTACCTTTGTATAAGTCTGTATAACGCAGCGCAGTGCAACCACTACCGTGGAGTCAGATCCAACTCATAGAGACCCCACCTTGGGTTTCCGAGGCGATATCACTATGGAAGTAGATTGCCCAACCTTCCTTCTGAGGAGTGGCTGGTGGATTTGAAAGCCTGCCTTCTGGTTAGCAGTCAGATGCCTTAGGCACTATACCACCAGAGCTCCCTTAAGTCCTTATAGATCACATTAATTCTCTATCATGTATTTTGCTTTATTCTCTTCCTTCAGCTAGGAAGGTATTGATTGCATTATTCTTTATGCTTGCTATTTTGCCAATAAATTGAGTAATAGAAGTATATTTATTTTCTTAAATTATACCTTTGGAGTCCCAACTATAAAATAAAAATATGCACCACTTCCTTTTTCCTTCCCAGTTTTTATTTGTTGTTTTGCTTCTTTTTGTGTGGATTTAACATTGACTTAAGATCTTTAAGTTTATCATTCATATGTGTTTAATTCTTAACTCTAACTTCAGAATGTTTAGTCAGGATTCTCTGCTCATGAATTGATTGTCCAGTGTTATCTATTGTTGTCTGGTAGAAGGGCTCAAAGGAACACCATCTTTATATCTTTTTGTTCAAGATATACCTTGCTGTTGAACATAATGTTTTAGCTGCTCTTTGGGAACTAGATATATCCTTTCAATCTGTAGATTGAAATCTTTTATATATAGAAACTAGAATTCTTAGATTAAAGAGTGTAGGTTTCATTGAGAAATACAGTTTCTCTCACTGTCTAGCAAATCAAACTTCAATTCACCTTTATTCCTTTCTTTTCCCTTTTGCTGTGTTGCTCATATTTACAGTATATTTAAACTCTACATGTTGTTTTATGTTATTTTGTCATTAAATTTGTCTGTGAGCATTTTTAAATGTATTAAGGAGTGCTACAGCTGTTGTATTCATGTCTAGAGATTTTTAAGAAAATTCCTGAGCATGATTTTACTGTGTGAAAGCATAAAAACACTTTTCATTATATACTTTTTAAAGTTTTCACTCAGAATGTTAGTCCTTTCTGTGGTATCACAGTGTTGAAATAAAATACTAGGAACTTTTGTTTTTATGTTTTAATAACTGTGATGTTGTTGTTATGTGCCGTCGAGTCGGACCCGACTCATAGCGGACCCGACTCATAGCGGACCCCTCCTTGAGTTTCTGAGGCAGTATTACTACGGAAGTAGATTGCCCCATCTTCCTTCTGAGGAGTGGCCAGTGGGTTTGAACTGCCAGCCTTCTGGTTAGCATTACGCTACCAGAGCTCCCTTAGTAAGTGTGAAATAGTCCTTTATGTTAAGTTGATGTTCCTTCTGCTAAATATCAAATAACTATTTACCTGATTGTCAAAACCTTTGAGTTGTTACACCCATCATACAGTGTTAACAGGTGAGGAAATATGATGAGAGAGGTTAAAACAGCTTTCTTAAATAGCATAGTTTACATGTAGAAGATGTAGTTGTCTGGGAAAAAAATCGTGTTCTTATTTCTTTTCGTGGAAGAAAATACAATGCAGATCTTCACATTTATTATATATGGTAGGTAAACGCAAAACAATCTTGTTGCCATTGAGTGTATTATGACCCATAGTGACCCTGTAGGACAGAGTAGAACTGCCAGTCAAGGTTTCCGAAGCTGTAATCTTTATGGGGCAGTCTGTAACATCTTTATCCTGAGGAGCAGCTAGTGGGTTTAAACTGCTGATTTTTCAGTTAGCAACTGAGTGCCCAACCCCGTGCCATCAGGGTTCCTATATTGTGGATAGTCCCTCATAACAGCTAACCTATAAAACAAATCATGCATAAAATTGTTATGGAGTATATCAAAATAACTTTCTTGGATTATTAGTGATAGTGGAACAATTCTCATATTTTGGCGCACTGAAGCATTTCTTCTTAGGAACGTATTGTTGTTGTTGTTGTTGTTATGTGCTGTCGAGTCAGACTCAACTCATAGTGATCCCTCCTTGGGTTTCCAAGGCAGTATCATTACGGAAATAGATTGCCCAACCTTCCTTCTGAGGAGTGGCTGAGGGGTTTGAACTGCCAGCCTTCTGGTTAGCAGTCAAGTGCCTTAGACACTACACTACCAGAGCTCCTCTTAGGAATGTAAATAGATATGTAGTTTTGGTCTATACTAAATTCCTTCAGCTAAAATAATTACTTGATAGTTGTATGGCTTTCAACATTGGTTACACAATGGAGTCATCTAGGGAGCAACTCCACTACATCCCTAGAAATTTGATTCATTTGGTTTCAGTTAAAAGGTATCTCAGTAATTCTAATGAAAAGTTAAGTTCGAGGCTAATGGTATAAATATTTCAGGATACCTCAGTGTTGTCTCACTATCATATTATCACAATCACCTTGGCCCTGCAAACAAGTCAGAGCATTCTTTTCTGAGGAGAGTTCCAAATCCTGTATTTTCGTTATGTTTAGTTTCCTAATTGAGTCTGATCATCCAGATCTGGGATACTTGGATTTTGAAAAGAGCTTTGGAATAAGGAGGGATTTGGCTGTAGTTGAACCATGTGTATGTAGTATGTAATGGTTGGGTGGCTTGGGCAAATTAATTATCTTACTCTTTTCTTTAATGTATATGTGATTCAGTCTTATTTTATCTGTAAAATAGAAGATAATACTTACTTTGTAGTATTGTGATGCCTCAAGGAGTTACTAATAATGCCCATAAAATGGCTGCCAGTAGGAATTTATTAAGAAACATTAAATTTTGAGATAAAGTATGTTCATTTTACAAATTTTAGATAACATAATAATGACAGAAAAGGAAAATAAAACCAACTAATAATTGTTTCATCCAGAGTATTTTATCATTTGGTTTAATGATGTTTGTTTTTTAATCTTTGCATGTGTGTACAGACATTTTTACATGATATTACAGACAAGGGTTTATAGCAGTTGGGAAGTTTATGTACTTACTACTTCATTGAGGTATAGAACCAGTTTTTTTTTTTTTAATTTTTACTGTGATTGGGTGATAGTTTACAGAACAAATTCACTTTCCATGCAGTAGTTCATACACATTGTTTTGTGACATTGACTGCCATTCCCCACAGTGTAACAGTTCTCTTTCCACTTGCTCCCTGTAATTACTTCTTCCCTGTGTCCTTCCCTCCTGCCCCCTGAGCTGTCTGCCTGTGCAAACACTGCCCTCCTGTTCTCCCATGATTGATAGTTCCAAGGAGTGTTCTACCTGATACAAGTGTTCACCCCTTATGCCTGTCTGTTGTTTGGCTGGAAGCCACAGG